CAAAGTTTCTTTCACCCTAAGTGCCCCTGTTACCTAGCAGTAAATAGGTACCTGGGAGTTAGTCAGCTGTCACGGGCTGCTTCGTGGGGTGTGTGTGTGTGTGGTGTGGGGGAAAAAAAAAAGTAGTTAGTAAGTTAGTAGTTAGTTAGTAAACAGTTGATTGACAGTTGAGAGGCGGGCCGAAAGAGCAAAGCTCAACCCCCGCAAAAACACAACTAGTAAACACAACTAGTAAACACACACACACACACACACACACACACACACACACACACACACACACACACACACACACACACACACACACACACACACACAATCCCGTACCAATCATGGTACGAGCCATGGAGCCCGTATGGAGCCCGTACCTTGTCAAGCACAAGACGAAGCTGGAAAAAGTCCAAAGGTATGCTACTAGACTAGTCCCAGAACTAAGAGGCATGAGTTATGAGGAAAGGCTGCGGGAAATGCACCTCACGACACTGGAAGACAGAAGAGTAAGGGGGGACATGATCACAACCTACAAAATCCTCAGGGGAATCGACCGGGTAAACAAGGACGAACTTTTCAACACTGGTGGGACGCGAACAAGGGACACAGGTGGAAGCTGAGTACCCAAATGAGCCACAGAGACGTTAGAAAGAACTTTTTCAGTGTCAGAGTAGTTAGCAAATGGAATGCATTAGGAAGTGATGTGGTGGAGGCTGACTCCATTCACAGTTTCAAATGTAGATATGATAGAGCCCAATAGGCTCAGGAATCTGTACACCAGTTGATTGACGGTTGAGAGGCGGGACCAAAGAGCCAGAGCTCAACCCCCGCAAGCACAATTAGGTGAGTACAATTAGGTGAGTACACACACACACACACACACACACACACACACACACACACACACACACACATGCATGACCACAACACACAAAACTGAGTTAAAATGCTCACAGAGGTGAGAAGCATTTAGTGAGGAAGTGCTTACGGTCGGGTGTGGCGAGAGGTGAGAGGGAGAACCGGTGAGGCAGGGGGGGGGGATGATGGGAGTGGCCGCCGGGTGTCGCTGGGGGCGCAGGGAAGGGTTACAAGCGCCAGAGCTAGGTTTCAGACTGCACAATATCGCTATATCACTGATGAATCAAGGAGGGGTCGACCGTCCGATCCGGCATCAGGTTCCTTGTGAATACTTCAATATATCATAACAAACTTCGTTAAAACCATCCGCCTCTTTCAAAAAGGCGATTTACTTATAACAATTATATTTTTTACATTCTGTGAAAAAGCACAACAAAGGGATGAAACAAAAATATTTGTTTTGTTTGTTTACGGTTATATGCATATTTAACATAACCAATCATCCTACATTCTGTAACCCCTAATACAGTTTATGTGTTAAATGGTTGTGTAGGATTCAGTTAGATGAGGTTTACATTTGTTTTCAACCCAGGAATGTCCCAATATAGAGACCCACAAAGCCTCTGCTCGCCCGACTAAGTTTTAATTATGACAATTTATGACTAAGTTTACAGGTGGGATCGTGAACAAGAATAAAGTACGTCAATGATATCTCACTTGATCATTGATACTTTGGTTTTACTGATTAATGGATATGACTGTGGTTTTGTTTACTTGCGGTTGCGTTAGGCTTGGTTGGCTGCATTCGATTGGTTGTGGTGTGTTGGGTCTGATTAGTTGTAGTGATCTTGGTTTAGTTAATTGTAGTTCGCTGGATTTGGTTGGTTGTGATTTGCTGGGACTGGCTAATTGTGGGGGTGCTCTATTGGTTCATTGTATTGCGCTGTGTTTAGTTATTATGGCGCACTGGATTTGCCTGGGTGTGGTGGGAGATATGATTGGTTATGGTGTTCTAGAACTAGAATGGATGAGTGAGGCTTGCTAGGTATGGGTTGACTGTTGCGCTAGGAATTAGTTGACTGAGCTGTACAATTTGTAGACTGCTTCATTGCGCTGAGTTTGACTTGATTTGTTGTCTTATACTCAATAGTTAGTGTTAACTTGAACAAACTTTGGCTTGCTGCATGAGTAACGCCTGAAAACTGAATTTGTTTTTATAGGTAAATTTTCGGTCATGGAAATATACCAATGTTGTATGCTATTGGTATATGGTTATGGTTGGTTTAGTTTAACTCCTAGATGAACTATTCCAACCACATTTAGAATGATGTGACATAAAACTTGAGCTAAAAAACTAAAGTTATTATTATTGGCTTATAGCTAAGTCAAGTTAGGCTACACATTATAAAGTTTAAGCTGGGTAGATTATTAAAGCTCACGATGCACTGTCGAACTATTTACATAAGGTTGTGGTAGATGAAACCAACCCTTCCTCTCAACTAATAAGTCGACTTGTTGTTTTACGTAATCATAGCCAACATTACAAATGCAACCTATTAAGTAATGGCCTCCCAAATACCATATACCGATGGATAAAATATGTATTCTATTCGAGGTTAGGTGGGTTGATTGGGTTTGTACGTGTCTGATTAGACTGAAAGGTTGCATTTTTTTTGTGGAGTGGAAAATCAAGAGAAGGGGTTAGATAGCTGCCTATGCTTGCTTGATGGTACGGTTAACGTGTTGCGATGGGCCCATTTCCCGTGATAGATGGAGATCCCAGTACAATACCAGTTTAAAAAAAAAAACCGGTGTAGCATCAAACGACTTGCTGATGTTATTCTTTTTGCGAATTCGTTACTAACACGTGAATGGATTTTTAGCCAACATTACAAATGCAACCTATTAAGAAAAGTAATGGCCTCCCAAATGACCGGAGGGCAGGTCACTGCCACATCAGAACACCTGAGGGCGGCTCAGTGCCACACTAGAAGAACACCCGAGGGCGGCTCAGTGCCACACCAGAAGAACACCTGAGGGCGGCTCAGTGCCACACCAGAACACCTGAGGGCGGCTCAGTGCCACACTAGAAGAACACCCGAGGGCGGCTCAGTGCCACACCAGAAGAACACCTGAGGGCGGCTCAGTGCCACACCAGAACACCTGAGGGCGGCTCAGTGCCACACCAGAAGAACACTTGAGGGCGGCTCAGTGCCACTCCAGACAAACACCTGAGGGCGGCTCAGTGCCACTCCAAACACCTGAGGGCGGCTCAGTACCACACCAGAACACCTGAGGTCGGCTCAGTGCCACACCAGAACACCTGAGGGCGACTCAGTGCCACACCAGAACACCTGAGGACGGCTCAGTGCCACACCAGAACACCTGAGGGCGACTCAGTGCCACACCAGAACACCTGAGGACGGCTCAGTGCCACACCAGAACACCTGAGGGCGGCTCAGTGCCACACCAGAAGAACACTTGAGGGCGGCTCAGTGCCACTCCAGACAAACACCTGAGGGCGGCTCAGTGCCACTCCAAACACCTGAGGGCGGCTCAGTACCACTCCAAACACCTGAGGGCGGCTCAGTGCCACTCCAAACACCTGAGGGCGGCTCAGTACCACTCCAAACACCTGAGGGCGGCTCAGTGCCACTCCAAACACCTGAGAGCGGCTCAGTGCCAATCCAAACACCTGAGGGCGGCTCAGTGCTACACCAGACGAACACCTGAGGGCAGCTCAGTGCCATACCAGTGGAGCTCCGGTGGGCCGGTCAATGGCACACCAGGAGAGCTCCTGGATTATGATCAAGGCTTCAGAGTATATTTGCTGGTAGGTCAGTAAGCTGGAGTCAGGACATTAACCCTCGTGCAGTTGATAAGCCTAAGGATCCAACGCCAAACGTGGCACGTAGACGATTATGTGAGTCACTCATAATGGAGTTTAGCAATTAAACTGCTTAAAATCTTGAGGTAAACAGAAGAGAAGATGTGGACCTATGTTATTAGACACGTTGTGTTTTATTTTTGAGTCTATGACAAAATAATCCATTTGTTTTGTTTTTAGAGTGGGGGAATAGCAGGAAACCAGTGGATACTTTCTTTACTAGATTCGTCAAATGATTAATGGTTAGTAATTATGATGGCTAAGAATTACTGCTGCGTTCGTGCTAGTATTAAATTTCCTTACACAATTTTAATTGTGAGTCGATGTAGGCGGTGTACTCAGCGCCATTTTTGTATCTACAAACATTTTAATTTGCCTTAATGTTTTTGTATTCGTCATTGCTTTTTTTGGATATCGGATATCATACGTGAGAAAATTATTTTCCAGTAACTTTCTGCGTTCATAGGCGGTAACCATAATTGTGAGAGAAAATGTTAAGAGAACTCGCTAAGAGAACTCGCTGCATCATCCTTGTTCTTTTGCTCGTCAATTGTGTTCTTGGGAAGCATTGTCCACCACTCTTGAAGGTTGGGTTCGGCAGCTAGCATGAGGTAACGATAACATTTGTGCCGCAACAAAGCCTAAGTCGGGCCCCCCATTGCTTCTTCAGAGATAATCCTGGGTTCCCCGAGGGCCCCGCCCACTAGCATCCTTTTGTTGTGGTTAGCCAATTGCCTGCCAGGGAAGGAAAGAGGATCTGGCGACACATGGCGAGCGCGTCGCTGGTTGGTTGGGAGAGACGCCAAGCTCCTCCCACCGGTCTGTCTCGCCGCCACTCAGCGCTGCTCCTCTGGCACCGTGGGCGGGGCGTTGTAAGCGAGATGAGAAAAGTTTGTACAAGCATCACTTGACACGGAACAAGCTCATTTTAAACTCTTGAGAGCAGAACGTGTGACGGACGACGAGTGATGCAAAGTGACGCGCTAGTTACTTACAGCTGACGAGTGACGGCTCACCCCCGCCCTTTGCAGAAACCTGTTGCTCGTGCCAAGCTCTGGGGCTTCACGCTAAACAAACTATTAAGTGATTCAGCATCACCGCGAGTGTTCAGTGCTATCGTCGCCGTATTTTAATTCAGTGATAGATATTCCCGTCCGGCCAAGCGCCCACGAGTGTGTGTAGAGCGATATTTGCCAGATTTATACGTTAGGCTGCGGTGCTGATGTGTGGCCGGCCCGGCGCGAGCCCTCGTATGTGACAGAGAATGAAGACGTCTTCGGAGACGGGCCGCCCACCTTCTGTCGACTCCCTGGGCAGCCTCTCCATCCCCTCGCCAGGCGCCCTAGTGCCAGCGGCGCCCCCGACCCCCAGTGCCACCTCCACTATGGCCCGGGACGTCGCCGAGGCCGCAGGAGCCAACACAGGACCCGCCTCCTCATCGTCGTCGTCGTCATCGTCGTCATCCACCCCCGAGGGATCCTCCAGCCTCCTGCAGAGTAAAGCCAGCCTCCAGTTCAGCCCAGAGCAGATCGACTGCGTGTGTGAGACCCTCCTGCAGGCGGGAGACATGGACCGCTTGGGCAGGTTTCTCTCCATCCTGCCGCTGCACACGGAGGTCTCACGCAGCTCCGAGGTGATCCTAAGGGCCAAGGCGTCCGTGGCATTCCACCGGGGGACGTTCAAGGAGGTGTACACCATCCTGGAGACCAACACCTTCACCGCCAAGTATCACACGGAGATGCAGAACATGTGGTACCGCGCCCACTACAAGGAGGCCGAGAAGGTCAGACAACGGCCCCTCGGTGAGTACACCTGCCTCCACACCCTCCATAATTACCCCCTCTCTTCACCTTCGCTAATTACCCGTCCTCCTAACTACCTTGTTGGCTAATTGTTGTAGTGGACACCTTCTTAATGGGTCGCCTCAACCTCCGTTTTAACGCCTGTTTCTCTAACATTATTATTATTATTATTATTATTATTATTATTATTATTATTATTATTATTATTATTATTATTATTATTACTTTACTACTTCACTACTTCTCTTTCCTATTTTTTATTTTAATTCCTCTTTCTCCCACTCTTCTATTTCCTATACATTCCATTCCTTGGGAGATGAAATTACTATTTCCTCTCATTTCACCTCTTCTACATTTTCCTGTACGTTCTTTTCTTTCTCTTTCCTCTTTATAATCACTTTTTTCTTTCTTTTTCCCCACTCTTCGTCTTCCTGCCGGCGACGAAGAAGGCATTATATCGCCGGCTTCTTATATATCATCCTGCCGGCGATATATATATATATATATATATATATATATATATATATATATATATATATATATATATATATATATATATATATATATAAATAAACTAAAGTAATGTGAGGTATTCTCAAGAGTTTGCGATAAAAGTTTAGTAATACAGATCATTACAATCCCAGTGATGTCACTTTCCCTGTGGTGTTGTCACTTTCCCCCGTGAAGTTGTCACCTTCCCCTGTGCCTACTTGTGGGTGATTAGTGTCTATTACCAATACACGTTCGTGTCATGTTTATTCTTCCAACACATGAGGTCACCATCATGTATCTAACATCCTTATAGTTGTCGTAATCTGGATTAGTGACCTAACTTCTATGACTTGTTTGGCATAATTACAGTACTAGTGTAACACTGTAACTATAACATCATGCCTGTTAACGTTCTTTATAAATAAGAGTATATAATGTAAATATACTCTTATTTACTCCGTCAAATTACTCTTATTTAATGACCTTCCATAATGACTACTTAAATTATCTAACCACTCAGCTACCATTTTCATTTTCGGCTGTAAGCTATAGCCCGGCCAACGCGAGTCGTTCATCTTCATAAATCTATGTATTTACGTATGTAGCTGAGCCTAACATTTTAAAAGCACTACGATCACCTTCTGTGGTTGTTCAATAAATCTCTGAACTGTGTGTTTGACAAATCTTTCACCTTGTCCATGGAGGACAGAAGAAAATGTATATATGCTAGTTAGCATTGTAAATGTGTGGCCACATCTGTGGTAGAAAATAATAATAATAATAATAATAATAATAATAAAAAATCTTCATTCACTCCGTTGCCTTCAGATAAAACCAAACTACCTAATCACTGCTGAAGTAGTTTAGCGTCATTGTGGCCTCAAACAAGCTCGTCAGCTGGATTTAATCCTTTCTCCTCCCCTCCCCCTTCCCTTACTTTCTTCCCCCTATGGGACTATTGATTACATAATTAGTAGGATGATCGTTACTACCCCGGCAGTTGGCTCTTGGGAGGCATAACTACAGTATGATTAACGATTGCGGTTGTGTTTGCGGGTTGTTCAATGGTTTGTGGTTGTTTTAACGGGTTGTTGTTGTTGGGGGGGAGGGGGGTTCGTGGTTGTTGAACGGCTGATTACCGGGTTTATTGGTGATTAGTGGTTGTTCAACAGCTGTTTGGTGATTTGTGGTGTTTTAACGGGTATAGTAATACGTTGTTTACCATTGATAGACATTAAATCCAATACTAGCTCACCACTCTTGTGATATATACTCCGGGAAACTATATATTTCTCGGTGTATATAATGTAGTATACTTTGGTCCTGGGCAATGTTCAGGGCTAAAGTATACTTGGTGATTGTTCAGTAAGCTATCGTGGTGTGCCAAATAACCACACACCTGGTTACCCAGCCATCTTAAAAATAAATAAAGACCGTGGTTTTGTGTTCTTGTTAAAAATTAATAAAGGCCATGAGTTTGTGTTCTCGTTAAAAATAAATAAAGGCCATGGTTTTGTGTTCTTGTTAACAATAAATAAAGAACGTGGTTTTGTGTTCTCGTTAAAAATAAATAAAGGCCGTGGTTTTGTGTTCTCGTTAAAAATAAAGAATGTGGTCTTGTTCTCGTTAAAAATAAAGAATGTGGTTTTGTGTTCTCGCTAAAAATAAAGAATGTGGTTTTATGTTCTCTGCGGCTTGTAATGCTTGTATTTTTGGAGATATCCTCATACTGCATCCAAAATTTGCCAGTGCAAGCTACTCATCACATACGTATGACTAACCATCCTGCGAGACTGGATCTTGTGCCTGTCAACCACTGGAGGGTTATTAAAATAACAAATGCTTACTTACCGTCTAGTAAGTATACATTAGTCCTGGACATAGTCCAGGGCTAAAGTAAACTCAAGTGAATCTACACCGAGGTGGGTACACTTCTCTTGTGTGTACATACTTATCTACTGATGATAAACCTGTCATAGGTGTATTATAAACTTTGTTCTGTAGTACGGCAGGCAGGCTCGCACATCATCCAAGTTGGGTCTCATTCTACCTAACTAAATATATCGGATAAGTTTAGGATTCCTATTACTAACGTTATTAGATACTGTACTTGTTTGGTATGTTCACACTCACTAATTAGGGTGTTAGGTATAGTATAATTATTACTTCAAACCACATTTCGCAGTTCGAGGTATAAATGTTTTCATTTGAGCTGACACACCGCGCACTACGAAGTTTCAAAATATTCTACACTAAATTGTTTGCCAAAACCTGAAACTTATCAAGGTTTTCTTGTAATTTATCTGAAGCTTATTTTGAATTTACAATGGAGCCTTTTTCAGTAAAGTCTGCAAATATTATCCTATTTCTATTTACGCCATCATCAACATCGCTCGTTAAAGTTAATTTGGAACAATAAATACCATAAATGAGACTCTTCTGACACCCCACTAACGGCTGTTCCCCACCTTGATGTTCAATCAAATCAAATCAGAATATTTATTCAGGTAAAAGTACATACATAGAAGATGAGTTACAAACATAATGTTGGATTTATAGATAGAGCTAGCACATAAAAGATGAGTTACAAACATAACGTTGGATTTATAGATAGAGCTAGTACATGCGATACCTAAAGCCACAAATACGTACAGCGATTCGGGTTAACATATATTTATGTTCTCCTGTTCTCCAATTCCTTCCCTCAACCGCCAATGTTCTTTCCTCGACAATCTCCCACGTATAACAGTGTCCAAGACCATCTTAATACGTCAATATATATAATGTCATCAACCTTACATCATCATTTTCGTATGTCAAACGCACGCTCTTTTATATTTGTGACGTGAATCATTAATTAAATGAAGTTTCAGAAGGTGGCTACAAGTTCAGTACAGAATGATGATGTTACAGCCTAACGCACGCTCCTCGCAATTGATTTTTTATTTTTTATTTTTTAAGATAATTGGGCTAAAATAAGTAACCCTTCACGATTCGGGCGCATCTCGTTTATTGATTTATTGAACAGACTGATTACTAGACTCTTAATACATTATTATATAATAAATATCTCATCAAGGACGGGAGACTTTGTTTGGTTTTAATTGATACATTTGTTTACCTAATTATTTTTTTACATTTGTTTAAAAGTAACTTGTGCTAATTGTAATATTTTCAGCTTACACAAAACTGTTTATATACACTTCCTCTATACTGTAAACTACAGGTATATTACCGAACACTTCTATGTGAAAACTGATTCGAAGTAGTTTCCCAGAATCTTGATTATTGAAAGGTGCTAAGAATGATTGTTTGAGGAAGTGGCATAGAATGTCGATTGTTTGAAATAGTGACTGAATGTTGATTGTTTGAAGTAGTGGGTTAGAATGTCGATTGTTTGAAGTAGTGACTTAGAATGTTGATTGTTTGAAGTAGTACCTTAGAATGTCGATTGTTTGAAGTAGTGGCTTAGAATGTCGATTGTTTGAAGTAGTGGCTTAGAATGTCGATTGTTTGAAGTAGTGGCTTAGAATGTCGATTGTTTGAAGTAGTGGCTTAGAATGTTGGTTGTTTGAAGTAGTGCCTTAGAATGTTGGTTGTTTGAAGTAGTGGGTTAGAATGTTGATTGTTTCAAGATGTGGCTAAGCATGTTGGTTGTTTGAAGTAGTGTCTTAGAATGTTGCTTGTTTGAAGTAGTGGCCTAGAATGTTGATTGTTTCAAGATGTGGGTTAGAATGTTGATAAAGTCATCCTCTGTCAGTCAGTTGTTGTGAACGTGATTTTGCTGTCAAAGTTTTTTTTTAATTTCATTTTCTCTTAATATTTTTGATTAATGTTACAATAATTTCATAGGCGAAACTCACCTTTTATATCTTTAATATATAACAGCTTAGAGGTTCATAAACTCCTACCAACAGCCTCATTAAATGAACCAGGGAACAGGGCCACACGTGCACTAGGATGCAGGTATATATATATATATATATATATATATATATATATATATATATATATTACAAGTTCTATATAGTGTCAACATAAATATCCTGGACTACAATTATTCGGGCAGTAGGTTCATTTTAAGCATCTATGGCACACCCAAACCTGCCTCGTAAGATTTACATTTACATATATAATATTATATTTACATATACATATTGTATATGTAAATATTATATTTATATTTACAACTCCCTAGAACAGCAACTTGTGAAAAGACAAATAAACCAATGAATTCAGTTCCTGACCAATGGAACAAAGTTGCCTAATTAATTTTATATATTTAAAATATTTACATTTTACAACTCCCTAGAACAGCAACTTGAGAAAAGACAAATAAACCAACGAATTCAGTTCCTGACCAATGGAACAAAGTTGCCTAATTAATTTTATATATTTAAAAAAATTGTATACGTGTAATACAAAATTATTTTTAATGGCAGAATTTATTTATGATACTTATCGTGTTTTTAATATGAAAAACTGATAGTAAACACAGCGTTTAGGAACAGGGGGCCCGTGTACAACTGAAGATATTCCTGAATGATGACGCTTAACATCATCATTTTAACCAAACTTTATCGTTTTATGTTACGTAGAAAATTATAAGACTCATCTTGTAGCAAAAACTTCAGCCATATGTTATAGTAATTACGAATTATAGAACATAAAGAGTCCTTGCCTCAGTAGCCTTGCTTAGCTATATTATAAACATTGAGAAATTAATTCATGTTCATTTTGTCCATATATGTAGAGGCAGATAACGTCATGATATCAAGCAACAAATAAATGTTCACCCATAACGATGGTAATAACAAGCAAATTAATTAAGTGGAGAGGGAGCACTAATAAATTAATTTTAATTAATATTCAAATTTAAAATTAATGGAAATAAAAACTATCAACGGGTAGGTCACAATGAGTTTTTCACATTCAAATTCAATTTGAATACGGGTATGAATAAAAATGATGAGCAAATAGGCTATAATATCAGTTTAAATATTGTCCTTATTTCACTGATAAATGGGACGTCCCGTCAATTAGAAAAATAATGATGAAAATAATTCACATTAATCGCTTTATTATAAGCATAATAAATTCAAACCTATTCATTGTTAAACTGCTGTTTTAGTTAATTCAAATAACCAAATTATATATATTTGTTAATGGTATCAGTACCGATTATACTGATAAGGATAACACGGCCGATAATTATGAATATAGTACTCATAATATTTAAGATAATCTCGGTATAACAGCAATATAATTAAATAAACATGATAATAGTTCAGATGTTACATCTTTCTCTCTCTCTGGGTAATATTCGGTGTGTTTAGTATCTCCTTCCCACCCCTCACGTCCCCCTCTTCCTTCTCTCCCTCTGTTGGCTTTGTCCAGTCCTCTTCCTCTCCTTTCATATCCCACCATCCATTTCCGCTTCAACCCATAACTCCCGTTCCTCTTTCCCATCACCTTTGCTTATTATAATCTCTATATCTTCTAAATCACAGTCTCTTCCACATTTTATTCTACTTTTCCTCCCTCCCTCCCTCTCTCTCTCTCTCTCTCTCTCTCTCTCTCTCTCTCTCTCTCTCTCTCTCTCTCTCTCTCTCTCTCTCTCTCTCTCTCTCTCTCTCTCTCTATCACACATCCTTCCTCCCATCCCTTTTTTCCCCTCCCTGATTCCCTGCTTCTTCCCTCTCATCTCTTCCACCCCCTCCCTGATTCCCTGCGTCTACCCTCTCTTCTCTCCCACCCCCTCCCTTCCACTGGTAATGATAGTTGGCTGGTAATCCAACCATTGTGTGCCGTCCAACCAGTAGTTAACGTGGGGCGTTTAGCAGGGCCATTACACTCTACAACTACCCTAGTTTCAATCGATCTAATTCGACAGTCTCAATAGGCATGCAGTGTGGTGTGTCCAGTGGATGGTTCTCCGTACTATTCAGCCCAGCCTTGTCCTCTTAAATAATACACCGTATTTTGATGCTATAATCCTCAATGGGACAAAATAAATGGTACTATGGCAAGTAAACGCACAGTGATTCACACTGTGTGTGGACCAGTTGGGTCAGGTCGGTACGTTAGGTTCGTTTCATTTTAGTAGCTCTTATTTTGTCCGTTGTGGTACTCAAAGAGTACTGCAATCTGTCCTCTCAAAAAATATATCGCATTGTGACGTCAAAATCCCAACGGACCAAATATGATGTACTACAAATCATTGCGGCTCGCAAACATTCACGTTTTGCATGTGTGAGTCCATCGGTTAGGTGAGGTTCGGGCAGTTTAGTACCTCACTTTCTGTCCGTTGTGACAACTCGAGAGGACAGGCTGCAGCTATAGACTACGCAGGGAAAACAAATTGAGGAATTTCCTTCATTACTTCGGAAGTTTCTTAAGAGGCTAGTAGCCAGGCCGCCTGTTATGATTTGTTGTAATAAGGAAAACGGTAGACCAAGAGGCACTACAGGGAGGGCCGGGCACTACAGGGAGGGCCGGGCACTACAGGGAGGGCCGGGCACTACAGGGAGGGCCGGGCATTACAGGGAGGGCCGGGCACTACAGGGAGGGCCGGGCATACAGGGAGGGCCGGGCACTACAAGGGAGGGCCGGGCACTACAGGGAGGGCCGGGCATACAGGGAGGGCCGGGCACGCTCCCGTGTGGGAACTTGAGTCTCCCTTTGAAAGTTTATCTGTTTGTTTACATGTCCCTTGTGACGTCACATCCTGTCAAAATAAGCAATACACTTCGAAACTTAAATAATTAATGGGTGTTGTAAACATGTATTGGAGCAATAGGTTAGCTTAGCATTTTAAAAGTACCGAATCACCTTCTGTGGTTGATTGTTCAATAAATCCCTGAACTATATGTTTAACTGATCTCTAACCCTGTCTATGGAGGACAGAAGAAAATGTATATATGCTGATTAGCATTGTAAATGTGTGGCTACGTTTGTGGTAGAAAATAATAATAAAAATAATAAAAAAAAAAAGGAACAAGTCCACCGACAAGTGTATATTCAGCTTTTTGGTGTACATACACTAAGATGTTACTTTAGTTCTGGACAATTTTAGGAGGTTAAGTATAGATGCTGGTTGGTTAGTAAGTCATTGTGGCGGCCTTAATAACCCTCCGGAGGTTGGTAGGACTAAAATATACATGTTAGATGGTTAGCAAGTTATTGTGGCGGCCTTAATAACCTTCCAGAGGTTGGTAGGACTAAAATATACATGTTAGATGGTTAGCAAGTTATTGTGGCGGCCTTAATAACCGTCCAGAGGTTGGTAGGCCTTAAGCCCAACACCAAGCCAAAATTCGCTATTTCAATATTTCCGCAAAACAGCTTGGCCAGAATTGGGAACTGTACATTTGGTACAGTGTGCTTGGAAGGCGGAAGTTAATAATAAATTATTGTCACAGAGGTCGCATGATGATGAACAATACAGATGGGGATGTAATTTCTCAGCGATATACAGAACATGTATCTCGTGTAACTTGAGTTTGATCCACAATAATCCCTGTGTAATGTGTATAGTCGACACATGCTGCACACTATGCTGGTGACTGTAAGCATTGAAAAAATTATTATTAATTAAAACAAATTATTTTGTAATTGATATAACCATTGTGGTATTATATATTGTTATTTTACATAAACTTGACTCTCAGCCTATCACGTTTATGCCTTAATTTCCCTATCGTGACTGAATTTAATAACTAGACGAATTGGCTATAATTTGTTAAGTAAAATACTTGGTGACATATTGTATAGTTATCCTGATCTGTATTGTGTGTGAACGAGAGTGCTTGGTCCCGGGTTCGATACTCGGGCAGGGTGAGATGCTGGGTCCTTGTGTCATTGAGGAAGAGGTCCTCGATGGTCTTCCTGCAGCTCCGTCAGCAGCCAGCGGCAGCTGACGGAGCTGCAGGAAGTCTTCTGCTGTCTCACCTGCCCCTCGGAGTGTGACGGGTTAATGTTCAACACGGTGAACATCAGCTGATATAAATGATCTCTCTTTCAGTGAACTACCGTTATTTTACCAGTCTTTTACAATCTTGATTCTCACTCGACCGGTGGTAGTGATCGACAATCTCGGTTCATAGACGTCTTTTTTTCACTTCTCTAAGTCATTATTTTCCATTATTTTGGTCACTCTTTGCCCTACACAAAAGCAGACGTTAGTGCTGAGTCTGTTGTTCTGTGATCCAACTTTTTTCTAGTTTATTTTCTACCACAGACGTGGCCATGTATTTATACAACGTTGACTACCATATATACATTTTTGTTCTATCCTCCATGGACAGATTAGGGATATGATAGACAACGTATAGTGCTGGGAGACTTGAGAATAGTCCAGGACGGACCGAAACGTCGTCGTCCCTTCACCTTCTAGTGTGTGGTCTGGTCATTATAGTGCAGGGAGTTACTGAGCACTCAACCGCAGAAGGGAACTGAAGTGGTTTTACAATGCTAACCAGCGTATATGTATTCTCGTCTGATTCAAGTGGATCCAAGTGGATTTATTGTAATCTGCTGATATTATCACCACTGCTGCTGCTAATACTGCTTAATAGTGTTGATATTTCTGCTGCTACTACTACTTTTGTTACTCTTGTTGTTACTACAATTATACTCCTATGATTTTTTTTTATGTAACTACTACTGTTACTAATTTGAGTACAATGTCTCTTGTTGATATTATTGGTAATGCTACTGGTGATGGCAGTAATTGCTATAATATGACGACTGCAATTATCACTACAATTGTTGATACTACAAACACTACTACGACTTCTACTACTACTACTACTACTACTACTACTACTACTACTACTACTACTACTACTACTACTACTACTACTACTACTACTACTACTACTACACTCTCCTATTACTACTAAGGCTAGTGTTGCAACTCTTGTCACTGTTATTTGTATATAAGAATATATATACCCCCAAGATAACCTAGTTATATCCCAACACAGGGGCGGTGGACAAGTACCGGATCCGGAAGAAATACCCGCTGCCCAAGACCATCTGGGACGGGGAGGAGACCATCTACTGCTTCAAGGAGAAGTCACGGCTGGCGCTCAAGGAGTGCTACAAGCAGAACCGTTACCCGACTCCCGACGAGAAGAGGAACCTGGCCAAGCAGACGGGTCTCACCCTCACCCAGGTCTCCAACTGGTTCAAGAACCGCCGGCAGAGAGACCGCAACCCCGCACCCAGACCGTGAGTACCCGTAGGACGTTGTTAAGTGTTGGGTGGCTACTGGCTAGAGTTGGGAGGTATATATATGGGGCTGCGGTTGTTATTTGGGGCTTCAGGTGTTAGGGTGGGCTTCAGGTGTTAGCTTGAGCTTCAGATCTTGGTTGGGTTCAGCGGGAGACTGGGGTACTTGGTACCTCAGGTCAAAACTTGTGATTTAGAGAAGGCATAGAGAATTAGAAATAAGGATTTGGGCTTAACTGTATTTCAGATAAATTTAAACAAAAATAAAACAGCTACGCACTTGTATAAAATATATAAAATAAATAATATTACGTTATGTTAATACAGTATTGAGTATCTTATCCATACTAAGGTTACCAAAATAAATATAACATAGAAATGTCTTGTGTTAACGATGGTGACATGCAGGGCGTCGTGGAGGAAAGTGCTCGTCACTTGCATGGGAACACATATTTACATCAATTTGTCAACTTCCTTATTAGTCACTTAGGTATACCACGAATAGTATAGATCCCTGTACTAACAACCCTTGTACTTACCTATTTGTACTCACTTATTTGTGCTTAACGGGGGTTGAGCTTTGGCTCTTTGGTCCCGCCTCTCAACTGTCAATCAACTGGTGTACAGGGTCCTGAGCATACTGGGCTCTATCATATCTACACTTGAAACTGTCTATGGAGTCAGCCTCCACCACATCACTCCTTAATGTATTCCATTTGTCAACCACTATGACACTAAAAAAGTTCTTTCTACTATCTCTGTGGCTCATTTGGACACTCAATTTCCACTCAGGTTCTGATGCTTTTCTTCATCCATTTCCTCTAAGTGCTTCCTTACTTAACCTCCACATAAACCATCCTCATCATCTTGGCTTTTTGTATTTTGATATTCTGTACATATACATATTATATATTTTATAATAATACATATTTTTGTATTTTTATATTCTGCACACTATCCTTCTGATATGAGTGTGTGGCAGTTTGGCTGTTCATTTGCCCTCGACGCTAAGCTGTTGTCGTACTCTGTCTCTTCCTGTCGGACCATCGTGAGTGTGTGTACTCACCTATTTGTGCCTACAGGAATGAGCATTGGCTATTGGTCCCGCATTTCTAGCTGCCGGTTGTTTAAAGCAATGACTCTGGTCCTATTACCCTATCATATCTAGTTTTAAAATTATGAATAGTTTGCTTCCACAACCTGCTCCTTAAGTGCATTCCATTTTTCCCACTACTCTCACGCTAAAAGAAAACTTTCTAACATCTCTGACACATCTGAGTTTCCAGCTTCCACCCATGTCCCCTTGTTCTGTTAGTATCCAGTGTGAACATTTCGTCTATTTCCATTCTGTCAACCCCTCTAAGGATTGTATGTGTTTCTATCATATCTCCCCGTTCCCTCCTTTTTCCCTAGCGTCGTCAGGCTCATCCAGCGTGACTGTGTACATATTAGGAATTATGAATGTGCTCGAGGCTTTCAGAGACGACACCAAGACCTGTGAGAGCCTCGTGTGCTGCCCTCATCCTCCTCTATGGTTGAACAACATCTCCAGCGGAACACTTAACTGGCCACGTGTATGTGAGGGCTTGTGTGAGTGCTTGTGTGCGTGCGTGCGTGCGCAAAATATGAAGAGGGTTCCCAGGCGGCTGTAAACAAAACAACATGCGCGGAACAAGTGCTTGTTGTCGGGCGCACACATTTCCAGTCTCTCTCCCCCCCCCCCCTTCTACATCATTGGCTGACACCGGCGCCACGACCTGGGGCGACCTGGGGTGACCTGGGTCGTGCCCCAACATGGGAAAATACATGGGAGATGCTTGGTAGGAAGGGACCCCGTGGGAGGTGGGAGACAGAGAAGGGTATATGAGTTGCGTTTTGGTTTTAATGAGCGGAAGGCTGTGACGAGACCACATATATCAGTTCTCTTTCAGTTTTGATCTTCCTCTCGTTCCTCACATTTATCCCCGTCTTTCTCCAACTCCCCGTCCTTATTCTCTTCCTCCTCCTCATCTTACTCCCCCTCTTAATTAGCATTAACTTGTATTCGAATAAGAAGCGAACCTTTGAGCTGGATGACTATCGCCATTGTCCTCCCGCTCAGCCGTCCGGTCTATGGCGCTGGGCTCCAAGTCACAGGCACTCAGGAGTCGGGGGAAAGTCAAGTGGATCCAAGGTCAGGGGAACTGAAGGGTCAAATGAGGTCCAGAAGGGTCACACGCACAGGTGCTGATATGTCAGTCTGGCATTTGAAAGTGGGGGGGGGGGAAGGTCACACAGGCACTGAGGGGGTCACTCCTTATTTGAGAGGTCAAATTGGGGCAAGAGGAGTATAGTGACAGTATGGGTCAGGTCAGGTCGCCGTTGGAGTGATCTTGATGTATTGTGACCTACGATAAACTAAAATACTCTAGTATGGAATACCCCGAGCATGCCCTGGTGGTACCCGGGTTGACCTGGAGTTCCCTAGAATGACCTGGTGTGACCTAGAATGACCTGGTGTGACCTAGAATGACCTGGTGTGACCTAGAATGATCACAATGTATTCAGGAAATTGACTACATTTTAAATGTATCCCAACACCTCGCTTTCCTGTCTTTGGCAGTGCCTTATATACTTCCCTGTCATTGTCAGTGCTTAGCTTCATTGTGTTTGTCAGTGTATCTTCCTCTTAATGTGGCTGAATACTAATTTGGGTTGATCCTTAGCTTTGGATACTATGTTATCCTCATACTGCTTTTCCACTGCTCTCTTATGCCCTGTGGGCTCGTTCCTCAATCATGTGTGTGTATGTTATGATCCCCTTCTGTTCTGTTCTGTACTCTTAATGTCTTCCATGAACCTTTACTTCAATGTTTGCCTCTAGACATTGCCTAGTAAACCGTTAGTTAAAGTTCTTCTTAGTTTCTTAATTTCTTGCCGAATTAATCTTCCTTTAATTTCTTTTAGTGTGTGTGTGTGTGTGTGTGTGTGTGTGTGTGTGTGTGTGTGTGTGTGTGTGTGTGTGTGTGTGTGTGTGTGTGTGTGTGTGTGTGTGTGTATGTGTATGTATGTGTTTGTGTTTGTGTGTGTGTGTGTGTGTGTGTGTGTGTGTGTGTGTGTGTGTGTGTGTGTGTGTGTGTGTGTGTGTGTGTGTGTGTGTGTGTGTGTGTGTGTGTGTACGAGTGAGTGGATGAGAACGTGTGAGATGCGTCCTGGATGGCGTTGTTGACCCTGACAGTGTTAATGAGGTGTAACATCATCCCCCCCTACCCTCACGCAGCCTCAGATGGGGTCAGGTCAAGTAAGGTCACCATAGATGGCGCGACGACCATTCCACTCTCTCCTCCCGCCCCTAACGACCGTTTGTGACCCTCAAGCATAGTCTGGCACCGGTTCCATCTCCCTCCCTCCCCCCCCTCCCTCCCACATCTTTCACCCCATCCTTTCTCTGCTGCTGTTCACCCACCCCACAGGATAGGCTTCACTGCCTGCTAGCCCACAGGATAGGCTTCACTGCCTGCTAGCCTATCCAAGGTTCATTGCTAGCCTATGCTAGCAAGGTTCATTGTCGCGCCGTCACAGCTTGCCACTAATGGGTGTTAGTCTTGACAACGAAGTCGGCACTCTCAACGACCACGTTACTAGTCACTAGTTACTGAGTGGAGACTCATGGTATACAGTTATACATAAGCTAATGGTACTCCACGCCAGCAGACTCGTCAGCTGTAATGTCAGCATTCACTGTAATGAATGAACCAGCTGACTCGTCACTCATCTATGGACATAATAGGGGCACTTGTGATTTAATCAGCTGAGCTACAACTCATCAGTTACCAAAAATATAATGGGTATGATAGTGAGGGTAATGCATTTAATTGGTTGTGTCAGTCGCGTTATAATTAGACATTTCTGACGTTCAGATTCTTTGTCAAATCAAGCCTTAAAATTGTAGATGGCGGTGGGTTTCACAACTTCTCCTTTCAGGACATTCCCATTGTTGGGAAGATAACATTATAGAACATTACAGATTCACCTATGAACCATCACCTTTGAACTATCACCTATGAACTATCACCTTTGAACTATCACCTTTGAATTATCACCTATGAACTATCACCTTTGAACTATCACCTATGAACTATCACCTTTGAACTATCACATATGAACTATCACCTATGAACTATCACCTTTGAACTATCACCTATGAACTATCACCTTTGAACTATCACCTATGAACTATCACCTATGAACTATCACCTTTGAACTATCACCTTTGAACTATCACCTATGAACTATCACCTTTGAACTATCACCTATGAACCATCACCTTTGAACTATCACCTTTGAACTATCACCTATGAACTATCACCTTTGAACTATCACCTATGAACTATCACCTATGAACTATCACCTTTGAACTATCACCTATGAACTATCACCTATGAACTATCACCTATGAACTATCACCTTTGAACTATCACCTATGAACTATCACCTTTGAACTATCACCTATGAACTATCACCTTTGAACTATCACCTATGAACTATCACCTTTGAACTATCACCTATGAACTATCACCTATGAACTATCACCTATGAACTATCACCTTTGAACTATCACCTATGAACTATCACCTTTGAACTATCACCTATGAACTATCACCTTTGAACTATCACCTATGAACTATCACCTTTGAACTATCACCTATGAACTATCACCTTCGAACTATCACCTATGAACTTATAAAACTATGTTCTCCCTTTTCCAGCTTCCACCTATGTTCTCTTGTACTATTTTCTCTCAATTTAAAAAAGCTGTCCTTGGCCACCTTATGACTATTTGGGACGTTTCTTTATCTTAGAAGCAATATAAGTTATATAGCATCTTTCCAATACTCTCCTTATATTTATATATATTCGTTCCTAGCCCTGTTGCATCTTTTCTGTTATCTGAACTCTGCATTTCTTCCACTCCTTCCCTGCTTTTTTGTTTGTGATGTGTTTATATGTATGTATTAACA